TCGAAGTGCTGTGCATGAGTCCACCGGTTACACACCTAACTACTTAAATTTTGGTCGACATGTACCTCTTAAAGGTAATTATTATGATGAGATTGAAGATCTTCGTGAGTTGGATTTAAATTATTTTGACAGAGATGGTTATGCCAATGTGCTGGCTCAATTTCCGCAGATTTTTAAGGATGTTCAGCGTCACCTTACGGAAGCGTACAATCACTATGGTCGTTACTACAATTTAAGAAAAATTCCCACTCCTAATTATTCTGTAGGTGATAAAGTTTGGAAACGGCATTATGTGTTATCTTCAGGCCCTAACCAATTCTCTTCCAAATTAGCTCCTCGATGGATATTATGTAATATAACCGAAGTAATCTCTCCCTTTATTTATAAATTATCCGATGAGAATGGTACTGATTTGGGTAGATGGCATACCAAAGATTTAAAACCTTTTGCAGAAAACTCTTTTGATACTGATTCTGAACACGAAACGAATGAGGACTAAAATATCGATTATGACCGAGTGAATGATTTATGAATGTGATGCGAATGGTGTATGAATGTTATTTTTCTGTTGTTTTGTTTACTCGATTTTGACAATTAATCTCTAGAGAATCCTATAGTGACATTTTTAAATAATGATGATTAAATTCATTAAACCCGAACGTGACAGGAGAATTATGAGACGCAAGAAAGCGTAAGTGAGAAAATAAGTTGTTTTTTTCTTTTCGAGAAAATTGTTGGCAGTATATTGTTGGTACATTTTGGTGGACCAGTATAGTTTTGGTGGGTACAAGAAATTTTTTGAGGCAGCATATTTTGTTTTCCAGAGTTTTTGCTAATTGAGGGAAGAACTGTTTAATTGTTGGGCCCTTTAAGTAGTGTGAGTAGTTCAACTATTTTTTGTCAGGCCGAGGTACTTTTACAGTAACACTTGCTACAGCCTTCGCGGTCAGCTGTACAGCCTGTGACCATAAGTACCGAGTGGTGTCGAGTCAGCAGCTAAATAACGCCACACAGTGTAAGCATTCGTCTTGGATAGCGTGAACTGTTTGATGATTGTCTTGCACTGTTTGTTTTTATGTAACTGTGTAGTTTCGAAATATTTTTGATCAGGCTGTCGCTATGGCAGGCAAGGCAACGCTATATCGCCTGTAGCACCATTAAGCCCAGTCCAAACGGTATGGTTCAGTTAGTGCAACTGACCATCGGGGTATTCCCATCTCCACTCCCAAATTTCCTTTTACCTTTTCCCCTCTTAAACTTTGGTTTGAGTGACTTTTTCTGCGTACGGTATGTCAGTGAGACATATCGTCGTAAATTTCGATTTTGAGTTTAACTCTGGTTTGCGGCATGGTTGGGACTGGCCCAATTTTCAATATTGGTACCGGGAGCCCGGGGATTTTGTTTGTTTTAGTTCTTGTAACTAACTTAAGTCTGGTGGGGGCTCTAACTCACTAGGGTCAGTCAGGATCCTTTCCTCTTAAAGGATAAATTTGCTTTTCCTGTAGTTAACTTTTCTGACATTTATTTGCTTATTTGAGGTGTAGCATGACATGGCGTCTGCAAAGGAATTCCCTCGTTCCTCTTCATAATTGTCACCATTTAATTTCTTTGTGTTTATGTGGATCTGCAGTGGATATTTTGGGAATAAGGGTTGGAAAATGGTTGAGCTGGAAGACGTTGGTCTGGACATCAAGCGGTGGTTTCGTCGGTTGTGGGTTTGGGGAGTGCAGGATGAGTTTCATTTCGGCACGAGTTTTTGGTATGGAAGGAAGGTGTGAAAATGATGGTGTAATCATCATCTATCTAGTCGGGGTACGCCGCCGGCGCGACAAACAACAACTAGTTGCGAAGGGTACCTTGATCCCATGATACATGGCTCGCGTTGCGATTAAGCTTTTGCTGGTGCTCTCACGACCAGCGATAAAACGACAATTTATTTTATGTTGGTTTTTTATTTTATTCAATTTGGTTTTTGTTTTTTTCTGAATAAAAGAAAATGGTATCAAGTTCCCATTTTCTTTTTGTAGGAAAAAGGGGAATGTAACGGTTTGATTTTGGGAGTTATAGCTTATTTTGTTAAAATTTAGTAAGGGGAGCTTATTTGCTTAAAATTTCAGTACCAAGACATTTAAAACCATTATGGGAGTACTTACCTTGTATGTATGTTTGCTTAATGGGTAAATTTTGATCTATTAAGACTCTTCGTAACCTAGAGGTTTTTAATGATTTCTTTATTATAATTTAGCTTTTTCAGGTATTTCGGGTATAAAGTATTGTAATGTGGACCTGGAACGGACATTTCTGTAATGACATGATGTGACCGATGTGTTTTTGTTTGAAAATATCATTTAAAATTGTTGTTTTGAGGTTAGGCTTCTTCTTCTAAATGTCACTTATGTAAGTGATTGAGTGCATTTCACGCGCAGGCAGATTTTGATTTCGGTGACTCTCTCTCTCTTCGAGCTGACATGGAAGACGGCGGTCACGATTTTGTGAATTTTTTAAAATCCGTCAGTTGGGTAGTCATCCTGTCAATTTTTTGAGAAAAAGAGCCCATAAGATCTAGGTAAAACCGTTTTCTTAATCTGCATTGCAAAATTTATCATTATATTCCATTTTAGGCTTTTTTTCTTGGAGATTAGAATTTTATAACCTCAAAGCACATTTTACATATTTTCGAAAATCTTCGTGGCTGATTGTTGTGTTGATTTTGCACTGGTGGTCCACTGCATATTCTCCAGACTTGGCCCTGGTTGACGATATTTCGTCCCAAAATACTTATTGAACTTGTCAATGTTGATGATTGGAGAATAGTGTCCGTACATTTCCTGAGTGGATCTGGATGATCCATTTGGCATCCAGAACAGTTGTTGCTGATAAAGCTTGCTTTTCCTAAGTACCAGTGTAATCTAATGCATGGAGGAGTAGCCCCGATCAAGAAAAATCTCATCGGTCATATCATGTCAACCGTTCCAGGCTCACAAGGTAGATTATAAATTTATTTTAAGAACCTTGTTAATTTATGTTGGAGAACCTGCTTGTAGTATCACTACCGTAGGAGATAAACGGCAGATTTGCTGTGTTTGCAGTAATTTTAATTAAACCATCGTTATTATTAATTTAAATTTAAAAGTAATTTTAATTAAACCATCTTTATTATTAATTTAAAGTGCCTAATTGTTTCTAAAAATAAACAAGGTGTATCTGGGTAAAATTTTGTGTGTAATTTGTTAATAATTCCTACCTTTTTCTTTTTGACTTCCTGTCGATTTAGTCGCGACTGGCTCCTTCCTACTCCTTTTGATTTTTAAAGCTATTACCATCTTAAACCCAGGCCTAGCGCCGACTGTATGAGCTAACCGAGGTAAGTAACTCAAGTTTTGTACACTTTGTGCAAAGCTGACGTTATAATATATACTTGTAGATTGCCTCATAATATTTATTTTAGTTTGGAAACCTATTGGTTTTGCCATTCGACAGACCCCTCTTGTAAAAAAAATCATAAACTGATCTCTGACATGAAACCCTTCAACATTTTGATATCCTCCCGCTCTTGTAAGATTTTGAAAAACATTTGAGTTTTCTTCGTTTAAATCATACTCGTAATAGGGAAGCCCTTCTTTCTCCAAGTATCCTTCCCGCAATAAATTATGCAAACAACAAGCTGCCATTATCAAGTCATCGCATACCTCTGGTTTTATAGCTATAGGTAGTGTTGTCACTAAAAAAAACTTGTTTTTTTTCAAAAAAAAATGTTTTTTTTAGAAAAAAAACAGAGGTCCTTGTTTTTTTTTTCAAAAAAAAAGTTTTTTTTCAAAAAAAATGGTCAAAAATACTCAAATTATATTAAGTGACAGGATTTTCAAAATGTCACTGCTGAGGAAAGAATTTTTGGCACATTCTGTCACTAGAAGAATATTAAATACTAATTATAGTTTCTTACTTACCATTAGTAATATTCTTAAACAAATTGTTTAACGTTGTTGGCTTTCGCCCTGAGCCTTCCCTTTTTGGCATTTCTACCAACTATGCATCAACCTATAAAGCCGCAGGTCTTAACTCTTCTATTATAATACCGTATAGTCTACACGATATGCTGAGTCAGCATTGCCGACAGCGAGGCGCTCTTTTACCATACGTGGGTGGGGATGAAAAAAACAACTTTTGTTTTTTTCAGTGAAAAAAAACATGATTTATTTCACGTGTTTTTTTTTTAACTGAAAAAAAACGTTTTTTTACAACACTAGCTATAGGTGTATAAAACACCCTGGTGTTTATCCAAACGAAATGCTTCATCACCGATAATTACCCTCTTATATATTCCTACAAGACAATTATCTCTTGATTACAGCGATAATTGTCTACTAGGAATCGATAATTCCATTGTATCTACGTATCCATGGCAATTAATAAAAATAACGTCAGTTTTTATTTTAATGTGGCAGTTATTTAAAATGTCACGTTTTGGTAAAGAATCATTTAAATCCATTTATGAATAATGTTAAATGAAGTTTTGTGTTGAAATTAAAATATTTGAAAATGTTATTCTTTGATTTAATTAGTTTATTCGTATAATTATCTGAAAAAATTACACTCGTGCATAAAAATAATCAGATAAGTTTGCATTCAAGCATATTGCCTTTTAAAAAATTCATTCGGTCATTTTCATATTATGCATTTTTTAAGCAATATGCTTTCAAGCAAAATTATCGATAATTTTTAAGCACTTACCCCCGATAGTTACATGCGGCAATACCTTATTTGATTTAGGCAACATGGATCAATGCTTCTTTTGTTGGCGATGGAATAAAAATAGGTACCAAGTTCTTGCATATTGCTGATAGAGTTTCTCTGATAATTACACTTATGTAACTGTGTGAGATTCTAAAAGCAAATCCAAGAGATCTAAAGGACTCTCCAGTTGCCATATACCTAAAATAAGACTTTGAACATAAATTGTATACAGGGTACCTAAAAGGTAATATGTGTGTTTTTTGTAGCTGACGATTGCAAAAAAAGATGGAGGAATATAAAGGATACCTATTTTAGAAATATAAAGAAACGCAAATTGGGCACTTTTTCAGCTTCTTCCCAAAAGCCAACAAAGTGGACCCTGTTTGATCGGCTTTCCTTTCTTGATTCAGTTAAACATGAACGGGCATCTAAAAGTAATTTCGCCGATGAAGAAGAGGAAACTCCACTTGAGAGCCCAAATGAGATGGACTGTGAGATTGGGCCAACTGATGAATCCACCTTGAACAATTCAGATTTATTTGAACGATATTTAAGCCCATCCACCTCCCGAACACCAGGCACAAAATTTAATAAAATACTGGATAGGGACCAGGAAAGTTCCACATCTGAAAGTCGGAGTTCCACGCCGTTACAACGAAATTTAAACAAATACCAGCTTAGGGTATCAAAGAATTCATTAATAGCTCAATTTGAAGAAAGATCTCAGAAGCGCATGGAGCTCCTGAAGGCCATGCACAAAAAAAAAGATAAAACAGAGCCTGAAGATGAAGTTGATTTGTTTATGAGAAGTATTAGTATGACAGTTAAAAAATTTCCACCTGCTCTATTAAATGAAGTGATAAAGAGCTAGCTGCCACACATTTGCCACTACAATCGTCTACAAATTTTAATACTTCGCAATCAACCGCCCCCAGCTAAAGATCAAATGTACATGGTGGTCCTTATTTTTTAAATTTAAAATATTTATAATCTTACCTTATTATTTGTTTCTACTTGCCAAAAAAATAATTTTAGCAAAATTTTACCTCAATCGGACATTTACAGGTAGCTCAATGAGTTTAAAGTTTTAAATCTTTCTTTGGTGCTTAGTTCTACTACAGTAGCCTTTACTCTGTAGGTCCGATTTATTAATTGTCTTCTTTACAGTATTCAATAGTTTTTCGATATTCACATTTCCCATTTAAATTAGCTGGTCCAAATTGTTAATTTTGATTTGATAGGTGGTTTATGGGGCAATTTTAAATATTAACAAAACAAAAAATTTCAAATTTTAGGACATTTCATTTAAGAGTCCTGTAGAAATAACATGGACAGCGAACTTTTAACCCTTTTCTATCAAACAATCGCAGACGACTGCGATTTGACTGGTCTATGTAAGTAGTGTAGAAGGCGGGTTCCTGACTCAAACTGGATGGCATGTGTTACCATTCAGGATTTTCAGGATGTCTTCAGCCGTTGAAGACAATGCCCAGAAGGTCTTCAGATGGATTTTCAGGATTTTCAGTGCCGAAGAGGTCCTTTTCAGGATGTCTTCGGCTGCTGAAGGTCAATGACCAGAGGGTCCTTTTCCTGAAAGATAAGGACCTTCGAGGTCCTGGTTTATCTCTTAAATCTTAGGTTGGTAGTAAATAAAATTTGGTGGGTACTACTGTCTAACTAGATTTTATCTCTTAAATCTATGCCACGTGATTATGACGATGTGATGACGTAATATGAAAATTAAAAAATATTTTATATTCGCTGGGGATTGAACCGCGGACTTGTCGATTCATGGACGAATACGCTAGCCAAGAGACCACTTGACCAACTTATAATCTTTACCTTGAATGATCTACATACGCTAGCTTTGCCACGCCGCGTCACACCACACAATATTTTACGCATTTATTAATAATTACAATTATTATTATTAATAATTACTAGTTGTTTGAGTAAAATAAATTAAAATAAATATAAATTATGTATTAATAGTTATTTTAAATTTATATTTTTGCCGAGAGTTGTAAGTAGGTAGGTATGTGTGTTAACACATATAGTTATTTTAAATTTATATTTTTGCCGAGAGTTGTAAGTAGTAAAGTGACCAGATCCTAAAAGTCCAAAAGCGGGACAAAGTTACAAAATTGTCAAAAATCTTGTTTTCTTTTTCAAAAATCAGTATTCTGATTTTAAATACCTATAAAATTTTTATTTATATTTTTCATTTTGATGAATTTTTTTTAATAGGGGCTTATTTTTTAACAGTTCATTGTAGAAACTCATACAGTCTCCTTTAAAATTATATTTAATAGTCACTAAAGCTTTTAAAGTTTCTACAGACAAATTAGTTTTTTCGGTGGTCCAAATTTTATTAATCATAGAAAAAACCCGTTCGGTAGAAGCGATTGTACCGGGCAAGCATAATATATATTTTACTAATTTTAAAATATTATTGAAAGGAATGTTATTTTCATCGAAATGACTAAACATTTCTACCCATTTTTGATCTGTGGGAGTTTTTTGCTCAGTCCAAAAAATAAGTTTACTCTCAGAAACATAATAATGAACATACTGAGTCTCATCAAATAAAACATTTTCAACATATAGTTTTTTGTACTTGTTCCCATGTCAGAGCTTTTTTACTACTGTACTGGCTTAAATATTCTAAACAATTAGAGAGCTTATTAAATCGGGACCCTTAGCTCAGAATCGGGACTGTCCCGCCTAAATCGGGACGGATGGTCACTTTAAAGTAGGTATGTGTGTTAACACATACTAAAGCACGTACGATGTTTGCTTGATAAAATTTTGGCGCGGAGCAAAACGTTTTCGCTGCTGCTGCAATCTAAATCTCGCGTGCTCGCACCTACACTTGGCAAATACTTTTAGAGAAATATTTTTTAAATAAAAAACAAAATAAAATAATTAAATAATAAATTTATTTATAAATTATACATTTACAACATTATTTAATTAAAAATTAAAACAATTAATTAAAATACATGATATAAAATTACAATTTCCTTGGCAAATACTTTTAGAGAAATATTTTTAAAATAAAAAACAAAATAAAATAATTAAATAATAAATTTATTTATAAATTTTACATTTACAACATTATTTAATTAAAAAAATATATTAAAAATTAAAACAATTAATTAAAATACATGATATAAAATTACAATTTCGGCTGTTTTTCATACGTTCCACCCAGAACATGTTTGGTTCCATTCTCAACTTCTTTTAGATGTTTTTTTTTTTTTGATAGGTACAGGGTAAACACATTTCGTTTTCCAAATCGGTTTCTCCTCGACATTTAGGACATTTGTATTTGACAGGTGTAGGCATCTTAAACGATCAAACGATTAAAGAATCTTTATGATCACCCCACTTTTTTCCAGTTTCTCAACACAAAATCAAAATTTAATTTAGTTTAAGAAGTAAAGTAAAGCAGTGCACACATAAAATGGTTAGTAGTAGTAATGATTCGGAATTTAATTCTTATGATTCCAATCTAAATGCTTTGAATATTAGATATGAAGAAGCTATTAAAGCTGAAAAACGATTAATTTACACAACGACTTATGATTTCCAATTATTCTCGCTGGAATGTGGGCTTAGTGGTGCAAGGGATTTTTTGCCAACAGTAAGAATGGTTAACAAAGTTACTGGCGAACATCTCTCTTTTATATATGGTGAATGGGTTGGTGTAATTGAATCACTCCAAAAACTTCTGGATGCACATCGCACTGATGAAATTCAGCTTTGGAGGAACATGAAAATTGGATTAAATATTGATGGCAATAATAAAATTTTTAAAATATCAGATGATTGTACCATTTTGTATTTTATGCTAAATGATGTTTTTGAAATTCTTGAATTGGAAAAGTTAATTTTAAAAAAACTTGAAATGTTAAATAATTTAAATTTTAATTATTATTATCATAATCTATTAAAAAGCACATATGAAGCGATGAAAACTGAACTTCGTTTTTATCCTCCATCCCTTCATGCTGTGCTAGACGTTCTGTCATCCCTATGTTCTTGCGGTACTAGTGTAGAAAGTTATTGTTTTTTAGAATGCTTCTACTATTTAGATATGAAAATGTCAAATGATTTAGAAAAATATACTGATTTTTAAACTTACCCTTGAGTTTTAATGATGATTGTTGTCAATAAAACCACAATAATTTAAACAAAATATATTTATTAATATTATAAATAATTATTACATAATATTATTAATCTTGAAGTGCCCATGAGGTAACGTATCAGTTGAACTTGATAATAAATGCCTTTTATCATCATATGGACTTAAACCAATTTTACTCTGTTCAATACTAAACACATTATGCGCATTTGATTTAACCACCAACCTGGGTGCTGCAGAATTATCAGCCACCCCACTAAAACAAGGTCGTTATGTTTATATTAATAAAAATTGTAAAGATAACAATTTATTTATAATAAAAAAAAATTATTAATATAAGGCGACTATTATTCAAAAGTGTGAAAAATGATTAGTTGTTAAGTTACTATCATTGAATAAACATGTTTTCAGTAGCCAACTTTTTATTACTATCTACATTTATAAATAATACTTTATATGTAAATTTTCCCAAAAACACTCAGGATTGTTATGTGGCATTTAATGTTGATAATCCAATGGTAAAGACTCAATGGCCAAATGATTGGAATCCAATGGATGCAGCTCCTGGTACATTCAAGATTCAAGTTAATGCCTCAGCAATTGGCTCTATATTACATTATAAATTAAAATATATTTTATCAGCAGATGGCGGAAAGACTAGAACCCTTTTTGGAATAAATAGTTTAAATAGTGTAATAACTAATTTGACCAATTTATCAACCACTACAGGATCGGGGGTGGCCTCTTCGAATTCAACAACATTTTCCACAAAAATATTTATAGAATTTATATCTCTGTTAATAGTAGCAATTATTTTACTAACTGTTTATGGATTTTTATACTTTTTAGGTTATGTATTTAATAAATGTAAAAATATGTAATAAATATATTATTTAACTTACCTTTAAGTTTTATTCTAATTATTAGTTTTTAGTTTTAATTCGTTTTAATTCTTGAACGCAACTAGAGTAGTTCCATTCCAACATGAGGTATTTATTGTCTGATGTGTTTGTTATCGTTGGAGGTGGAAGTTGTGTTGAATTACATAACGGTTCAGGAGCCATTTTCAACTCTGCATACTTTGCTGACCACATATTGGATTCGATTTGAAAACCCTCTCCCATCATTATACACCTTTTTAAATCATTTTTTATTTTAATTACCTCTAAATCACAACTATAATTAGAAGATTCTGTTGCTGGTGTAGCTGCTGCTGTAGTAGTAGTAGTAGTAGTAGGAGCAAAAGTAGTAGCTGTAGTAGTAGTGGTAGTAGGAAAATCATCATTTTCCATTGAAATTGAGTTGTTTATGTTGCTGCTGCTGCTCTTGATTGTATTTTTTTTGTTTGTTGTTGCAAATAATGACATGTAGGGGTATTCAGACAATAGGTTTTTAAAACTTATTTGTAATCGACTGTTGTTGCTATGCACTTCATAATTTAAATACAAAGTAGAATTTGAAGGAGAATACTCTGAATGAAATGTATCTGTACAACTGCAATATGTTGCAGCTGCTACCACACACCATAATAACTTAAACATGTTTTGAAATAAAAACAAGGAGAACTTACTTTATATAGATAAAAACTGTTGATTCAGCACATTTAATATAATGATCTTACAAAATCATTATATTAAACAAAAACCGATTTCTTCAAGCCAAAATGTTAATGTTGCTTTTAATTCGATTTCAACAAATGTGGATTCGGTATTTCGTTATAT